TTTTTACAAGTAATATTAAAACTGGTTACCTATTCTTTAGTAAAATTTTTTTTCTTTAAGGGAGCTTACCATGAACCTTAATTTCTGCATCAATTAATTCGATTTTAGGATAATTGAGTGTATAGGTGGCATATCGCATTTACTGTGCAATATTTTAAAATATACGTAGTATGAAATTGCTGATGTATACATTTCATAATTTCAACAATTTCAGTACAGATCTACCAGCATTAAGTAAATTCTCTCCCAAAATATATTGAATGACATCTGCTTGTGCTTTTGACAAACTAAAATTTTGCAATTCATACGTACGTGCGTACTGTACTTATGTAGGAATTTCTTTAAACTTAATTTACAGAAAGTTCTCGATATTTCTACCAAATTATGACCTAATCTACTTAATTCTATTCGATACATTTTTTTTTTTTTTTGTGTTGTGAAATCTTTAGAAATTTTGGTTTAATAAAGTCTTAATTTATTCGAAATCAAAAGTCTTTATCTATAAAATAGGCTAATGTTTCCAAAATTGTGCATAAAAATTATATACATACGTATGTATTAGATAAAATTTGTTAATTACCACGTACTGTATACGTATTAATCGATTTATCTACCAGTTTTAGCAAAAAAAAAACTAGTACGTACGTATCTTAGTTTAATTTTTATTAATATTTAATAAAATATTAGCATTATATACGTATAAAAATATATAATATAATAACTGATAAAGCAGAATCATAAACCAATAAAAAATTTTTATTAAAAAATACGTAGTAATAGTATACTACGTTATAGAAAAAAAACCAATCATATACTATATATGTGTATATACACGAGTATGGGTATTACTTATAGTTAGAGTAAGGTTGTTTATACCAAAATTTTGCCAAAAAGTAGTTCTATAATTGAAATTTGAAAAAAACTACTCATATATATATTAGTATACAAATAGTAATTGCTAATATATATACAGTATAGTTATAGCTAATTCGTGAAAATAAATACCATAAAAACATACCACGCGTTTATCTGTTCAATAGAATTGGTCTTTCATCTTGAGTTTCTAGAATCTTAATTTTCCTTATCCTCTGTCTATAATAAAAAATCTTGTTAATGTCAATGACATTAAGTAGTAATATTTCCCAACAAATAAGGATCGTAACCATAATCATTTTCTCTTTAGAAACAGTAGGCCTTATTTTTACTTAGGTCACGATTGTGTTCATAAATCGAATCACCCTTGCTAATAGCTTCTTCGAGTGACCAATCCTGCGTAAGCCACCTAGCAGCATCACAAGGGACCATGATGATAATGATAATGATAATGATAAGATTCGTTGTGTTCATAGATTGTTCACCCTCCACTATAGCTTAAGTGATCGATTCTGAAACTACACTGCAACCTAAGATATGGGTACAAAAACTACAACCTAAGATATAAGTATTGCAAAGTACAATCAATTACTTACGGCTCTTTTTTTTCTTTTGGAATGTTTTTTACACGCGATTCTAAGTTCCATGACAACTTAAAAATACATAAATACATAAATACGCGTAAATCAATAAGGCGCTGAAATTTATTGTGATTAGTTAATGCAGGTCACATTATTTGTAGATCCGTTGACAACTCTAAATCGTGTAACCAATGTTTAGAGGCATGTTAGATTTGGCTGAATGGTTAAACGGAGTCTCGGGATGGTTTTAGGATAATAAGGGTTTTGTAACAGTTAGCGAATATGTATGAATTTTAAAATTATATTAACTAGAAATAGAATTGTTTGCTTAATAAAGTACTTATTTATTATTAATAGAATGTATTAATGAAGCAAAGGCGGGTATCGTTCTTCCCGAAAGGCTTTATTTATAATTATGAAATCATTTATATTACTAGAATCATCAATAAACCTAGGAATGTTAACAGTCCAAGTCTGGTCTGGTCTATTATGATTAAGACTTTGCTAGTCTAGACCGGTCCAGACCGATCCAGTATTAATATTAAAACTTAGAGCTGACCAATTTTTTTTTAGGTCCAGACCGGTCTTAAGACTAACTGTGGTCTATTAATCTAAGACCGGACCTAAATAAACCCCAAATTGGCCGAACACCAGCATCTTATCGTAGAACTCACCATATTACCGAAATTGTCCTAATTGCCCATTATTCCCGTTCTGACTTTTCTGGGGTTTCTGGTTCATAGAAGGACATTAGTACTTTTCGAGAACGTAAATGTTTTACTAATACAAAATCACCGCAAAAACTATTTTTTGCTTCTATATTCACTATGTATAAATAATCAAAAATAATCTGCTTCTCATGAACTTAGAGGCGAACATTCTTATTTATTATACTGTATACTATATAGTTATTATATATAAGTACTATATATACAGTATATACAGTACAATATATTTAAAATCGGTTTCTTACGAATAGGTAGGTAACCCAAATTAAAATATTGTTACCTAGGTAAAAACAGATAAATTAACCCGGGTTATTTGTTAACAAAAATACTGTAAAAGCAAAGTTAAAAATAGTTTTTTTTAATCTATTTAGTCTATCTTAGTATCCTTTAAAATTAAACCGAACCGAACTAAGAATAAGTTCAGGTTTAGTTAAAATAATGAACCGAATCTAAACTGAACTTATTTTAAAAAATATAATTTAGTTTAGGTTCAATATTGAACTTTTAGAACTAGTTTAAGTTTAGTTCAGATTTGGTTCAAAGTTTATAAGCATGTTTAGATTTAATAAATTAGAATAATAATTATTAATTTTTTTTTTTTTTTTCCTTTGATAACTGTGTACTAAAATTTTATTAAGATGTGACATTCAATACAAGATTAAAATACTTAGACTAAAAGCCAGCTGTTTCTTAAAGATGCCCAACTTTGGTTATCACACTAATGATTGCCACTATACTTCACATATGGTGTATCATATTTAAAGATATAATATAGCTTGGGCTCAGCTTCCAACTCATCAAGACCTTACTTTCTCTTCAAATTCTTCCTTCTTCTCAAGGGGCATGAGACAAAAGGGGAAAAAATTTAAACAAAAAAACTACGAAAATGACCAACAAAGAAAAAACTAATAAAGCAAGAAAAAAAAAAAAACAGATTGCAAAAAAGAAAAAACATAAAAGAAATTTAAAATCCTAAAGGCACTATTATAACCCATACAAGGCTGGTAAAAATTATATAACAAATGCAATGTTTGTATATCTCTTCTGTAAGGCTTCATCTTAGCGTTAAAGTTACTTTCTGATCATCCCACCAACTCCGAATTGCTTCGTTGCCCATCCTAATTCATATTTCAAGCCAGGTGCTACTGTTGTCTGAGAGTTACACTTACCCTAACCCAAGAAGGACCTGTATCTCAAGCCACCTACTGCCGTAATTAAAGTTCCCAGGCCGAGTCCTGTGAAATAGTGCCGTATTCATCTATAAACAAACACGTGGTTGCATTCCACTAGTCCGTTCAAATTTGGGAAGTAAACAATGCCGATCTTTTAGAGAAGGTAAGCCAAATCCTCACATTTTATCGAAATATTTTGGAAAACCGATGAGAAAATGAGAAAAAGTAAAAGAGAAACTACTTAACCAAAATAAAAAAAAGTAGCTTAAGAAAAACATATTTTCTGTTGTTTCCCCTGTGTTCTTCTTTAAAGTAACAACCTAGAAGCTTCATCGATGAAGTTAGACTTTATCCACCCTTTACCAAGATTTTCTATACAAGGGCACCTCCTGCTAGTTATCTTGTATAATGGCTTGCATGCCAAATATCCCTTTAGAGAAGTTCTGTAAGCAAAAACGTTGACCTCTAGACAAACCACTATGTAGGCCTCAACTCTCCAGCAAAAATTATGTTTTTCTGTTAGTAGGAATTTTGGTTTTAGTGATCGTCAGAAAGAGTTATAAAATTGATAATAATTATTAATAAATTTTTTAATAATAATTAAATTTATATTGATTTTTGGTTATAGTTTTTTCAACAACTAATAATTTAAAGTGAGCCAATATTTCTACTTTTTAATTATATTTTTATAATCTATTTTAAAAATTTTAATCAAAGGTAGCTTGATAACTATTTAACCAAATTTGATAAGATTTTTTTATTTAAATTTTACAAAACTGTAAATTCACAAAAATATTGTTTTTAATTTACCAATTCATCTTTATTGATCTAATCTATAAAAAAAAAAAAACTATTACAGTTGATTCTCTCTAAGCAGTGTTGTACATGGGACATGTCCACACTATGTAAAATATCCAATGTTCAAGATTGTCCAAAATCGTCCAAGCCTATGTCTCATGTTTAACTAATTAATAAAGTAATTTAAAAAAATATATAATTATATATTTTTTTAGATGCTGGACTCATTGGTGAAAAAATTGAGATAAATTATCTTAATAAAATTTTGAGTAATTTTAAATTAAAAAAATATCCAAAATTGTCCAAAATTGTCCCATGTACAACACTGCTAATAGTCCTACACCAGAACCTTTACACTTTGAAATTTTACCTTGTAACCAAAAACCTCTTATACTAATCTCTTCTACACTAAATCTAAGATCTTTCTTATTTGCATTAGTCTCTACTAACCCTAAAAGTTCAATCTTTTCATCATTTGCCTACTCCGAAATAGCCCTTAGTTTGATCTTGTTTCCTCTTATACCATTAATATTATGACATGCTATCCTTAACTGAAAATCACTTGCTATCTTATCATCTATTATATTAGTGTCTGTATTGTTAGAGAGGGCTTTGTCTTTCTGGACTAAGAACTTACTACACGAGCCTCCTTTTTCTTTAAGCATGCCCATAGCGCCCTTAGGAGTGATTGGGGCCTCTAGCCCCATATATCTTTTCTCAATTCTGTTAAGTTTCGCTAATATTTTTTCAAAGACACCTTTGTAGCTCTAATCGAAATGCTCTGCCTTATTGCTTTTCTCAACTGCTTTACTCTTTGAACCTGAGGCAAAACATGTAACTTCAAGGTTTCAATTCTCCTTATTATATACTTCCTTATTCTTAGATAATCTTTGTTTAACCCAACTTCTTTTATTACCACAATGATACTTGCTTTCTCTAATAGTACTATTAGGTCTTTTCTGCCTTCTGTTTTTACTTGACTTCTTGCCTGTAACTGTTTCGTTAAAGTCAAATTTTCTTCTATTACTTAGGGACTTCTTATGTTTACCATAATACTTTGAATTAGCTAATTTTTTATTTTCTAACTTTGCAACTGGAGGATTCCACTCTAACTTTGTATTAAAATAGTACAGCCTTGACCTTCATGCTTTAATTAAATTTTTCTCTGTTTTAAAGTATAATTATGCTTTTCTACTCTAGTTACTATTGCTATTGTTTAGTGTATGGACTGTGCATACTTTGTGGTTTTTTAACTGTCGAAGTATGAGGCTATCAAAAGCTATGCTTAATACATTGTAAATTGCACTTTTAAATTTGTTTCTGTCTTCTAACTTCATAATATCAAATTTTCCAGGTGTTACTCTATACAATTTGCCTTGATTTAAATATATTGCCCAGCTTTCTCGTAAGAAGTTTTTTTGCTCTTTGATACTTATTTTGATACTAATAAAGGCTGCCTTGGTTCTAAAGCTATATTGCCAATCTAAAACTTTAGCTTTCCCATAAAATTTGAGAAAATTTTTAATTTCATCTGCACTTATTCTCTTCAGGAGATTCCACAACATAAAGAAATAGTATGCCTCATTTGTATAATTTTGGCTATTAATTTCACTCTTTGGTGCCTATACTAAATTATAAATATCTTCATGTCTCTTGACTTTCTTGTTCTCTATTTGTTAATTAGCATTGTTCGTTTTATTGGCCAGTTGCTCTTTTATTCCATAATCGATAATGCCAACTTCATTTTGAACCAATGCAATTTTTTTTAATTCAATATCCACTTCATCAGTATTAATTGTGTTCTCATACTCTGACAAACTTCTTTTACATGCACAGACTTGATTACTCTCTTGTATATTTTTACTATAATCAGTTGTCAACACAACTGACTTGTTATAGTTAACCTTCATGATTGCAGATACTACTTTATTTCGTTCTTTTTTAATATAAAAATTATTATTAGGCTCTGCATTTAGTCCAAACAATGTTCTTTCTTCATCTGAGATTTTGTCTTGTCTGATTACTCTACTCTGTACCCATTTATACCTATCTAAAATGTTATGTATAATTGCTATTAAATAACTATCGCTTGTATCTAGATATTCTGCAACATATATATCTTCTTTTAATATTGTTGTACTTTGTGTCTTATAAAGCTCTAATTTCTCCTCTTCCAGTTTTTTAAAAAAATCTCTATATTCTGTAAATACTGGCATTTCTTGTAGTTGTTAATTTGGCTGTTACGTGCTTTCTATATACTTCTTTTAAACTTGAAAAACCTTTGTTGTTAACTCTATCTTGTGACTCCAAAAACACGTGATTTTGACGTGCCTTTATGTGTTTTTATGTATTAAATTTCTAGAATAGCTTGTATGTAACTATGTGACTATACATGTCTATTTACATTGCACAAAAGATCTACACTACAGAGTTAACGCTATTTTCTCTCAACGATGAAATAAGCAAGAAAGTTTTATTTATGAATTGCTAGAGCCGTTGTATACTTCTCCCGTACAATAAAAAATCTTTTGCACAGCTCTACTTAGCTTTTCTTCACTATTGTATAGACTTTAAGTTGTCTGTGCTAGGTTAAACTTGCTTTTCCAGTGTCTTGTTGTCAAGCAATTAAACAAACTTAAAAATTAGGCTCCTTTTCACTAAATCACTTTAAACCTTATTGGTATCTTTTCTAAAACTGCTTACTTTAGCCACTATTGCACTTTTTAAACACTTTTTGTAGTATTCGATAATGACCTTGGCTATATTTTAGCTCTTAACCGACTTTTATTTACTGTTGTTGTTGTGTGCAAAATGATTGTTGGGAAGAGTTAATTTGACTTAACAATTATATTATAATTCAATTATAGAAATTTAACTCTTAAATTAATTACATATTTCTGACTTATTACTCATGTTTAAACCTTATCTAATATTGATAAACTAAATTGTATTACCTACTATTGCATAATTGATTACAGTTTGATTAAATGTTTATACTTCCAATTAATCTTACTTTATTATATGAATTATGTGTATTCGACAACTTATTCATTTTAATCTGAAGATGAGTACATAATATATATATATATATTTTTTTTTTTTTTAATATTGAGGTGACCACTTAGGCCTCTGGCACTTTATTAATTCAAACGGGTGGGCTGTCCGAAGACAGCTTACATATTACATCAGTATAACGAGAATACAACTAGTCACACGTACAA